TCTCTCTCTCTCTCTCTCTCTCTCTTTCTTTCTCTTTCTCTCTCATTTATATATAATCTTAAAACAATTTTATTGTTTAAAAAAAATCAACTAACAATAATTTATTATGTCAATAACTTAACAATTAATAAGCATTACACACAAAAATTGTCCTACAATTTCTGAGAATGTAACTAGTTAAATAGTGTTATGTCATTTTAAGTTTCATAAATAACAACCTATCTATTCGTATAAATAACTACATGAAGATCCAAACTATTTGATAATAACGTTATAATGTTAGTTTATAATGTTAGGAATTTATATTGTTTATATGCATTAACAAAATTATAAATACCCATTGTCAATTAGCTTATAAAACACTCATAGTAATTGTAGTTTAACAGGCTAATCTAATGGATCTAATAACTATATTAGCTATTTTAATTAGCGTGGGTTATTTTATTTATAGGTATTATAATTATTGTATTCTTATTTTTTGTATAAACTTTTTAAGTTAAATAATTAAGTTTATTATTTTAATAGGTATTTGATTCGTCCGTACGATTATTGGTCCAAACGGGGCATTCAGGGCCCGAAACCGGTTCCGTTTTTTGGGAATTTGCTACAGTTGTTAACTACACCACAACCGCTGCAAGAAATAAACTGGTTCAATAAATATGGCAAAATTTATGGGTAAGTTTTCAACTATTAAAATATAAGTTTTATTATTTTTATCAATAGATTTATTTTTGTATGCTCATATTAATAAAATATTTTGAATAATCAATTTATTCAAAACTTCATTCATATTAATAAAATATAAAATAATATAAAATATGTTATTATACTGTATTTTTATTAATAGAATAAGGCTTGCTTAGTAAAAATTACATAAAAACAATATGTTTAAATTTAATAAAATGTTTTTTAAAATAAAGTAACGCGGGTAAACTGTAGAAAAATTATAATGATAAACATTAACTCTTTTAATAATCATTATATTTAACAAATATTTAACTGGTTCTTGCAAAGGATAATTATAAATTTTTTAAATAAACATATTTAACGAATAGAATAATCCAAGTAAATAAAAATCGTTGTATGAATTAAAATGATTTTGGCAGACACTACATTGGCAAAACACCCATTCTGAACATACTGGAACCAGCGTGACCACCTGTGCTCTATTTCAGAGAACAGTTCTCTATTTGGACCTGTATTTGGACAAAATAGAGAACTGTTCTCTATTTTAAATTTAAAATAAATGATAGAAATGTTACTAAATTAATTAAATATTTATTTATTTATACAATGAGAAAGGAATTGACACTTTCTTGATTAATATTGCCATTTTTATACACTTAACACAATAAATTTTACTTCAACATTAGTATTAAATAAACTCGATTTTTAAATTTAGAAGAAAAATTAACGTAAAATATGTGTTCTCTATTTGTTCTCTATTTTAAAGAGAATTTGGTCAAATGTTCTCTATTTATAAACCTAGAGGTGGTCACGCTGACTGGAACCGGATGTGATCAGGAACATTTTGGTAAAAGACTTTCACCTGTTCGCCGACCGCTACCACATTCGGTCGGCCAGCGATACAGTGGTCAGCAAAACACTGTTTCACATGAATGGCGACCAATGGAAACGCCTGCGGGCTATAGTGAGCCCGACGTTCAGTTCGGGCAAAATGCGCAAAATGTTCCCCAGAATTAGGGAATGTTTGGCCGACCTCTTGGAACAGGTATTGCAACATAATTATTACGCTTAACCCTCAATCATAAGAACATTAGTGTTGTCATAAACATAGGAATCTCTTATGAGCAAAGTCTGGCTTCTGATTTTCAGTATGTTTTGTCTGACTGTAAATAAATATTTGAGTTAAATGAACATGTATTGTTTCAAATAGGTATGAATTATAAATGGTTTAAATTTGCATTAAAACAGAATTATATTAATAATTAAAATTGATTTTAGTAGCGTAAATTTATAATATACTAATTATGAATTATATTAAGTAACTAAAATATACTATTCCAAAATTTCATAGTACTTTCAATGATAGTAGTTTAAAATGTAAACTTCAGCTGCTTTAATTGTAATACTTTGTACAATATAGTTGGACGGATACGCTGTGTCCGGGCGCCCGGTCGACGTAAAGGACATGTATGAGAATTACACCATGGACGTAATCGCAACATGCGCGTTCGCCACCAAGACCAACGTGTACAAGGGTGATATAAGCCCATTTGTGATCAACGCGCGCAAAGCATTTAGCTCGATCAATATAGCTGATTTGCTACCTTGATACCGGCGTTTATTAAACGTTGGTTGGGCATGGCCATTACCAAGAAGATTCAATTTTTTATTGATTCCACCAAACACATTTTGCAGATTAGACGTGACTCGCCTAATAGTAAGCATAATGATTTTATTCAGATATTGATGGACGCCGTGATTGATAAGGAGGGTGGCAGTAGCCGAGAGGACTAGGATGCTAATGAAGCTCATTACGTTAATGAAGGTAATCTGATATAATTAAATCTAATTTAAAGTCATAAGTTATACATAATAGTGTTAAAGCTGTTTTTAACTATTTTACTAATTTAAAATTTTTATTGGGCAATAATGTCAAGTATTATTAAGTAATAATTGAATTGGTAAACTAATACAGTGCATAATAATGTGGCATTTGATTAAATATGTATATTGTTTTAATTAAATATATAATTAATAATTATTAATTATTATACAGAGGCATAGGTTTCTTTTAATATACTGTACATGTAAATTTATAAATACCCATCTCTGTGTACTGACTTATTGTGGTTTATTTGCTGAAACTGTAAACAAATAATTATATTTCATAAACGTATGTTGATTATAAGTTGCTCGTATTATAAATGGGTATAAATTGCAAATATAATTTATTATATAATATTAAAAATATAATTTACATTACACTATTGTAATTTATATTTAACATTAATCACTATAAACATATAAAACATAAATTAACGCAAACAAGGCAATTATATCAGACCCAGGTAAATAAAATAAAAAACAAATTGGTGCAGTGTGCTGAGAATTAATTAACTAACGCTGCAAACTGTATATAAATTTTTATACCTATTTAAAATTAATTATTCAAAATTTAAACTAGTAAAACGGCACCAAGTCAGACAGGCGTAATCAATATTATTATTTAATTATTAAACATATTAAATTTTGTTAATAACACAATCAATCCACAGGCGAAGAGGAGTTGGCAATCGAGCGCAAGACTCTCAAAATAAAAGTGACCGAGAACAAACTGACCGAGAACGAAATACTGGCCAAGGCGTTCATGTTTTTCCTGGCCGGCTACGAGACCTCAGCCACCACCCTATCATTCCTATCGTACGAGCTCGCGATGGCACCCGACATACAACAGCGGCTGTACGACGAAATTGTGGTCAACCTAGACGAAAACACCGGTGAAATGGACTATGACAAGTTGGCCACTCTACCCTACCTGGACGCCGTAGTGTCCGAGACATTGCGCATGCACTCACCCGCGCAGAGTATGCCACGTGTGTGTTCGGTGGAGTACGCCCTAGGTAATACTGGTGTGGTGATACCAGCTGGCCAAAATATTGATATTCCCATTTACGCCCTGCATCATTGCGCCGAGTTTTACCCGGAGCCATTTAAGTTTGACCCGGATCGTTTTCTCGGCGAAAATAAGCGTAAGGTTAAACCCTATACGTATCTGCCGTTCGGCGCCGGCCCTCGCAATTGCATTGGTATGCGGTTCTCGTTGTTGGAGATTAAGCTCGGGTTGGCTCACATTATGAAACACTACCGCTTCACTACCTGTCCGTTGACTGACCGGCCCATACAGTACAAGCGTATGTTACGTATTGGTGCCCCTCAGCGAATGATCCTGGGCATTGAAAAACGCAATGTTAATTAGATTATGATTTTTGTAGTTTATATTGACAAACCTTGTTAATTTTTAATCTATTATAATTTTATTTCAGTCTTTATTTTAGTTGATTGTAGAATTAGATTTATTATTAATTGTTTGTATTAATAGTTATAATATAAGTTGTGAATTAATTTGTTATTGATTTGATCATTTAATAAATGTTACTATTAATTATAATAATACATTAATTAATTTAAAAATTATTATATAAAAATAATAAACTAAACACTCATGTGTCCATGGCATACCGGCCACATATATGGGTTGAAACTTAAACAAACAAAATAACGATTTACTGTAGATTAAAAACAATTTAATTGAAATGTCTGTTTATTTTTAATAAATATTGTTTATTTAATTATTGTTAATAATAAAACATCTAATTCAAATTATATAAATAACATTCCTTTAACTTTTATATTCATCCCAGCCTTTTAAGATTATCTTCCGTCTAACCCGGCTTTCACGACACCTCTAAATTTAAACATTAATTTGAAAATACAATTAATATTAAATAAGATATTAAAATTCATAATGTCGTTTTACTCGTGATAAAGCTTCCAATGCTGGTCATTCCTTTTGTGCTTAGCCACAAATTCACAAGACGTGTTAGCTTTGTCATCATGTTTATCACCAGTTTCATTGTTTATATAGCAGACGTTTCTATTGTTTTTTTTCTTTTTGTGGTAGCATTGGTCGTGGCATAATTTATCAAAATGTTCTTCCATTTTATCACGTTTTTTCACGACGAATATGAAGCCTTTATATTTGTAATCATGCTCCTTTTCCCCATCTATTTCCACACAAGCGATGCTCAGCACCAGTATTATGGTTAGCCACATCTTGGACACCATCTTGTTTGTTGGCACTTAAAAATTTTATTAGCTATAAAACTATATATACAGATGGTATTCAATTAAGGCTCAAACTCTTAAAATTTAAGATAATTTACTAACAACAATAGATCGAGACAGCAATTTAACCTTAGTGTTTAACTCTATGAGAAATCACTAAAATTAACAAAACATTAAAGTAACATTAAACGGAGGCCTACATTTTAATTATACTAAATCAACAAAATTATACATGTTTAGTTTTTTTTACTCATGGCAGATGAATGGCACAAACCAGTGCTCAAACACCCGCCAAACTCACATGTGTCCACCCGCACAGTGAGTTGTGCGTTTATCTAAACTTTAGCAACATTAAACTGTAAAATTAATTGTGGTATTGTTAGTGTACAGTATAATAAATTAGTTATAAATAAGAATAATAGTATCAATTAATTAATGTACCTTAATTGTGTTGACTGTGAGACCAGGAACCAGGAACCACACAATTCTATGCCAATTAATACACTTTATTACAAATAGTTAGATTTTTGTTAAAATATTATTATCTATAGCAATTTAAAATACGCTTGTAATTTAATAGGTGTAATAGGTTTACTGGTTTATAAGCAAGTGAATCGAGTAGTGCGGCGTTTATCCGGTATATAATTAAAATATAAGATAATGTTATTAAAACATCAGGGAATTTATAATTAATAAAATTTTCACTATAACTGAATTCTAATAGAAATTTTTAAATATAATTAATTGGAAACACACCACGTAGTTGCATAACGTGCATAAAAATCAATTAATTCACTCAAAAATTTAGTATAAAATTACAAATAGTTTTTTAATGGCAAACTGAGAGTGAGTTACAAAATTACCAAAACATTTAATTAAATGAACACTAAACTGAGGCAAACAATTTAATTATGCTCAGTCAACAAATTTATACGTGTCCAGTTTTGACCTACGGCAGATAAATAGCACAACCAAGTGCTCAAACACCCGTTAAACTCACATGTGTCTACTCATACAGCGAGACTATCGGTGCGTTTATCTAAACATTAATTGACAATATTTTACTTTATTCAGACAAACTTTGATTTTATGATTTTATTCACATATTGATAGACACCCTGATTGACAGAGTAGTAGCCTCACGGTAGTAGTTGTGAGGATCAGGATGCTAATGAAGCTCATTACGTTAATAAAGGTAATCTGTTATTATAAAGTCTAATATACCTAAAGTCTTATGTATGTAAAACTAGTTTTTAGTAAAATTATAATTTATTGCGAATTATTAAATATTAATATTTATTGTAACTCAGCTTTATCATTCAAACAGTTACTCATTACGATGAACGTGATTTAAAAATTAATTGTTATATTAGCCAAATAATTATAATACAGAGACATTGTTTCCTTGCATCATGAGTTTATAAATGCCGCTCTTTGTGTACTGCCCTAGACACATTTTGGTCATTTGCTAAAACTGTAAACAAATATTTATATTTCACAAATATAAGGTGGTTTTAAATTGTTATTATTATAAATGGGGATTAAAGGAGACTATTTTATTAAGTAATATAACAATTAAGTTTGATATTACACTATTTGAATTTATCTTTTACACTAATCAGTATCTAATTTTATAATATCTTTAACTTTTTTACAAATATAGATCAATTATAGTTTATTTCAAATTATTATTCAAAAATAAATATAATTAATATTATTATTCGAGATAGCGCTTTCCAAATAGAAAAACGACATTCATTAATTTTAATATGATAAATATAACTGTATAATTCATTTAACAGTTTCTAACTGTTTTCTTGTGATAAACATAAATTTTAATACAGTATTTATAATTTAGTTATTAATTTTATGGATAAACAGATTTAAAATAATGTAAATTATTGTCAATAGTAATATATAAGTTTTATCAATCATGGTGAATTGAGCATCATCATGATACAAAACAAGGATTACACTGATTGTTATCATTTGACCTGTTTCTCGATACCGACCATAAGGTTATATCCACCGATATTATTGACCTCTTGGTTAGTGTCCGGGCAGTTGGTATGCGTGGGGGCGACAAATCGGTACTGACGGACCAGCCGTACGAGCGCTGTCTTAATTAGCATTAGGGCAAACCGGGAGGCGACACAAGCGCGCGGACCGGCACCAAAAAACAAGTTACCAAACTCCTTACCCTGGCCTTTGCTCAAACGATCAGGGTCAAAATGTTCGGGTTTAGGGAAGTAGCGTTCGTCGCGGGTAATGGCATAGACGGGTATCTCAATGCGTTGGCCCCGTTTGATGGTAATGCCGGTGCCGGCCATAGGGTAGTCCTGAGTGGCCACTCGGGACAGCGGCATAGAGGCCCTCTCGCGAAGCACTTCCAGCACAAAGTCGTGCAAATACGGCAAACGGGTTCCCAATATCTCGTAATCGGGGTCGTAGTCGTCGTTGTCATCTCCCGCCGGACAGTTGGCCACAATCTCGTCGTACAGTCTCTGTTGAACGCCGGGATTGCGGGCCAACGCGCACAGACTGTAGGCCACCATAAACACTGTGGGCACATAACCGGCCCCTTGAAAGCTAACCGCAGTGGCTGTGGCTTCGCTCGGCGACAGCCGTTTCATTGGGTCGGCGTTACGCTCGGCCGCCAACAGGAGTTCAATTAAAACACCGTCTTTTAGACACCGATCGGCTCGCATATGGCTGACCCTATCGACCACTAATTCTGTCAATTGTTTAGTAGCGCCGGCATTAGTGTCGGCCGGCGGGCCCATCGCGGCCAACGCCCGGAGCAACGTTGCGTTGAGCGCCATTGAGACCGCCTCTCGCCACGGGTGGTGACGAAACTGGCGAAACGATTTGGCCGTAAAAGCGCTGACCCGACCGTCGGCGCGACTGTCGCCGTCCATATCGATGCCATAAAAGCATTGGAAAAAGCAGTTCATCACGTAGTGTGACATCAGGTCGAGCGCACTCACCTCTATGCGTGTCGAGTCGGAGGTGAGTCGACTGCCCACATGCCGGCACAGGTTGGCGACGCCGTCGCTCATCACGGCCTGCATTGACCGCATTCTGCGCGACGAGAAGGCCGGCGCCACCGCTCGCCGGACGCGCTTCCAGTGGTCGCCCGACATGTGTACCAAACCGACGGGTTGTGCGCACACGGGATGCCGATTAGCAAATGATTGAAACGCTTTCACCAAAATTGTATTCACGAGCGCCGGATCGGCGACCACTAGTATCGGCTCATTTCCCTTATAATACCTATAATAATGGTTTGAGAGAAAGAGAGAGAGAGAGAGAGAGAGAGA